AGTTACATTGCAGACTATTCTGATCAACTTTCAACCAAAAAACAAGTGGGAGTGTAATAAAGTTGTTAGATGGACTATAAAACATCACATGAGTATTCTTATTACTATTAGCATATATGATATGAGACCAGCCATAAAATGCACTCACAACAGGAACGTGCGCTTCCTAAATGGTCAACCCGAAGGTTAGGGGGCAATTTTGTAAACACTCTGTAAGATGCAACAAATTGGCATGCAATTGACACGAGATGACAACATTGTGTCAGGACTTTTTTGACACGATATAGTATCATGATATATTCATGTATAACACAGAATTGACAAAAAATCGAAACTGGATGAAAATAACACAAAAAAGGCATGAAACTAACGTGAAATTGGCAAGAATTAATGCAAAATAACTATGTAAATCACAAAATAACCCTCTGAAAATAACTTCAACGTGACAATCACGTAATAAATGAGCCGTGTTAGTTTCAAGCTATCAATTTTAATGAATGTGTTGTCGTCTCATGCCAAGATAACACAATATCGTATCATGTCATGTTCATCTCCTTTTTTGTTTTCCTATCATGTTAGTCAAAAGCACAAGGAATAGCAACCCCTACATAAAGTGACCTGAGGCTAGTGAAACAAAAACTATTGACAAATTGGTTAAAAGTAACTCACTTTTAATATCCAGAACATGAATCCAAGTACCAAATTATGCAGTGGAAACAAATTTATATGATACCTTGCGAATTAGATACAGAAAATCCTCAACTGATAACTTTCCCCTCTTTGATCCAATATCTTGGGCTTTATGTACCTGCAAAAATGTTGCATAATTGGGTTTAATACCTGGCATAGCATCTCATTAGCATGGTAAATAGTAACTACCTCTGAGAAATGCTTACCAAATCAGTGATATATTCCACAACAATATCCTCCATAAGTGCCACACTTTCTGGAAGAGGCTGAAAGCAACAGAAAACAATTTCTTTCCGGATAAGTCAATTTTATTCACCAAAGAAACCAAAGAAGAACAGAACCAGAGGTTCAGTTCCAAAGAGACCACAACAACCATGTGCTACATGCCAGTATCCAAATTAGTGTCATCTATATAAATATCACATGATATACTGAGAAAAGACTCAACTCTCAAAATTTGATAGTGCTACATACATTTTGATCGTCTCCAAAACCATACATCATGTGCTGCACTGCAACATCCAGAAAAAGAACAATATAAACATTTATGAATAGAACCCAGAAAGGCTAAATTAGCATAGAGTTTCTGTTAAACACAACGACCATACATACATTCTTTTTGAAACACTCCCCGTTTTCGCTTAAATGAAGTTTCGGATGGCTGCGAGGATCCAGCTTTCGATTTTGAGGACTGCCCTCCAGCAAGGTTGTTCATCTTCTAAACCCTGAAAATATGCCCCCGAAAATCACTCTAATCATACACCACAGAACAATTATGCTAATAACAACATAACAGAACTGAATTTGAACTCAATCGAATTCTTCCACTTAATAATTCCAGGAACAAAGCCATTACAAGAACGATGAAATTGACGAAGCACGTAAAGAGGATAACAGTAATCAAGAATAAATCCGACCCAGACTTCAAACAAAATCAAATCGAATAAACTAAAATCGTGGAAATTCAAATAAGTGAAACCCTTGGGCACTGTTTGGTTTGAACGAGAGAAATTAGAGGGAAAAACAAGAACTACAGAAGAAAATTACCTCGTCAGATCTTCAAAACCCTAAATTCCAATTACAAAAGGAGCAGGACAGAGAGAGAGACTTGCTTTGCTAGATCAGAAAGGCGCCTATATGCCAGCGTTTTGAACTGGACCGATTTTATATCTTACCGTTTTCGATCGTTACGGCCACACGAGACACAAGACTAGAGTATATTGACAGGGGTATTCTAGGGACACCCGAACATATACTATTGACACCCAGGAATAAATTTTGTTTTTTAGTTTTTATTTATTTCGAAATAACTAGGACCTACAATCTTTTTATTTTTGCTAGATGGAAAATGGAAAATGAGAGGGTCGGATCACCTAGCTAGTAGGTCACTTTTAATTTACCCCCTAAATTTTGTGTTTTTTAGAATAATTATTATTCGAACTTTTATGAATAGCGAATTTATCGCTTACTGTCAAGTTTCTTCACATTTAATTCAAGTTGTTAAAAACAGTCACTTACCCCATCAATTTTCTTTTGAAACATAAGTTGATTTTCAAGCAGAATCTGAAACGTTTCTTAGCTCAATGTGTTATATTGTACAAATCATACAAACCTTTGATCCCTCATATAGACTACATCATCTTCTAGAGTGCTTTTTAAAGGACATCATATACATACTAATTCTGCTCACTACATAAACCTAAAATGTTGGGCTATTCCCTCTTTTCTTAAGCCTATGTTTTCTGTAAAAAGTGTAATTTATCTTCAAGATTATAGGCTTTCAGGGATAGGCCTGTACACCACCAACATATGTAGCTTCAACGGATGTAGATCCTTCCGCTGCGACATCGTCCCATGAATCCCTGGACAGTATGACAAAATCTGCTAGTTTCCCCGGCGACAGGGACCCCAAATCGCTGTCAAGAAAGCATGCACGAGCAGCTGAAAGAGTGTACCTGCCATGATTATAAATGTATCAGGTGGAAGTGTAACACAGTGGTAAGTGTGAGTTGAAACACAACGAAGCAATGTCGATCAGTTGAAAAAGCAACAAAGAAATCGATAAATGAACAACTGGAACTACTAATTAAGAGAAAAAGAGTGTCCCTCTAATGAAAAAAAATATTGGAAAGAAACAAATTTGGTTCCTCACTCTATTTGTCGAGCGCTGGACACTATCTAATCAGCTTAGCATCCTCTACCAAGAAAAGAGTAAATCAGAACAAATCATTTTATGAAATAAAATACTAGGTAAGCATGATGACCGTTTCTTTCAGGCCACAGTCAGATGGCCACAACAATTACAAGAAAATTAAAACTACCCAAACATAAATGGTGGGAGAAAGGACAAAGTATAATATGAGTTCTACTCATATAGGCCTTGTTGTAAGTGATATGGTCAGAGGTGGCTCTTTCCTCACCACTATCACCTTGTACTTCTTTGCCCTTTCCAGAGAGCTTGTAATTTCTTTTCCAATATCCAATCCCATCATCCATCAAATCTTGACAGCGTCTTATCCCTTATCCCTTTGAGCTGAACACAGCACACCCGATCCCCTCCTCTTGGATTATAGAAATAATTACAACTCCTAGATTACCTAAATTTTTGTTTCACCATAGAGTGCCCTGGTAACAGAAGATTTCTGAAAATTCTACCAACCAAATATGGTTGAGATTAAAAGGGTTTGCCCTCAACAATTATAAACCAGTGAACTTTTATGTCAGAAACTGGCATAGGCAGACAAGGTCCGTTCGAATGGGCCTTCACCACAAGTATATCAGCCGTCTGGTTAGCTAACTTGGTGCAATCTTAGTGACTTTGGATATGGGCCTCGCATATTGAAGAACGTGAATAACCTAAATAGCAGTCTAAAAATAGATGATATCTCAAGGATCAAATGTTTCAATGTTGCTTACGCCTTCAATGCGTCATTCAATGAAAGGGTCTCTGAGGGAATCCAAGCAATATCCCAACCAGGGGGTATCCTTTTCATTGCTGTCTTAATGCCACCTAATGGATTAATATCCGCCACCTGCAAAAACAGCACCACTCTGAAATTTACAAAACATATCACACTAAACAAAAAGTATCAGAGAGCCTTGCGATACTTAGGCCTCAAAAATATATCCATGAGAGTCATTATACTTACAGGCCAGTCGGAACCAAATGCCAATTGTCCATTGCTAGCCAAGAGTGACTGGAACAAATAAGATCCCTTCTGAGCCCTGTCTATCCCAAGTTTTTTGGTTGCGGACTCAGCATCATCTAATAGGTGCTCTGGCTATAGGGAATTGGTGTTCGAGTATGTTATTAAAATTAAATTTATGCACAGGAACAAAGAATAATGATAATCACTCAGAGGTTTGAGAACTGTTAAGCCAAAAGGGGAAAAGAAAAATAACAATAAACTAAAAGGGGAAAAGGGAGCTCATTGACTTAAGGCATTTTAAAAATAAAAAAAATAAAAACTTTAAGTAGATTATTGTATAAAGCCCAAATGTCAGGCAGCCCGTGTATGCAAGAAGAAAAGACTTCATCCCTATGCAGAAAGTGATCCAAGTGTCATTATGAAACCACGGTAACATGTGATCCCACACGAAGTGTGTATAAATCTACACCTCTCTCTTGTATTTAAAATTTCACCAGTAGAAGTCCCATATCCCAAACTCCTACACACAGTCAGAAATAAAAATGGTAGCAGTCTGAAAAGGTAGGACCACTTGGATGCAAATAATCAGAATGTAGTTGAAACATGAACTTTGAACCATTGCAAAATAATTCCCACAAATCACTGTGCTTGCAGCCCCATTACCCTAAGAAAGATTAATAAATAAATATAAAAAGACTAGTGCGGTCAAACCTGTACTGAAGCAACAATCCCTAGTTTACCAAATCGGGCTGGTGTCTCAGGTGCCAGATGCTGGGCATGCTCAATCTGAAAGCAATTTTTTCCTTGGTCATGCAAAACAATAACTAAAAGGAAATAAAAAAACCTGTCAAAACTTATGCTGCCGTTGAACCATTATCGTTTGCGTGAGCAAAATCTTTACCCTGAATCTTCGATCCCTCACTCCATTTGTAGAAAACACTGACTCATACATGTCAAGGATCAAGTCATTTGCTCTATCACCTATAGCATGAATAGCAGCCTGAACACAATGTAAAGGAAATTTTACAAGTATGAGTACATTTACGTCATGTAGGGGCAGTTCCAAAGAGTTAAGACAGCACCTGAAGCCCAACTCTATCTGAAGCCAAGGTCAGGTTGAGGAGACTTTCATTATCTGTCACTTGTAAGCCATAATTATGAGGCTCATCAGCATATGGCTACAGATTTAAAAGACAAATATTAGGAAAATAATATATTGACTGGCTAAGCAAAAGAAGTTACTTCATATCACAGAGGAAGCAACAGTATGAAGCAAATTAGATAAGCTCACTACAAAAAATTCCTAACTTTCCAATGACACTTCCCCTCCCTCAACAACAATAGCTAGAGAAACAACAAAGATATACAAAAATAAATGGAAGTGGCCATAGTCAATGGATTTCAAATTTTTTATTCTTAATTTACTAAAAACAAATGCAGATGCCCAAGTACCATCGTTCTCACCTCATAAAACAGTGCACTATTAGAACCCAAAGACCCATCAGCAAAAGCTTTAACACCTCCCAAGTAAATCCATTGGCTCATGGTACGGCCAACTTTGGTAATAAGATTCTGAAAAGGAAAATACAACTCTAAGAGAAAAAATAAATGACAACAAAATTGAAACATCTAATGAAGTTAATAACTAGATTCGTTAGATAAAAACAGAATATTCTAGAAAGTAAGTTGTCCAATGCAAAAACTTGACATCTCCACTTGGTCAAACAAGAGATATAAGAATCCAGAATTACTTATGTATGAAACACAAAAGCTGCAATGTCAAAAGTCTTCATTGCAGGAAGGAAAAGAAGAGTATAGATAATTAACTCACAAGCATTTCTGATATGGAAAAAATATGAAAAGGTTAAATAAATAAATAATAGTGCAATTGCTGAAAATGGTTAAAATAATTGGTCTCTGTAAAACACATTGACAAGGAGAATCGTTAATATGTCAACATAAAGGCCAAACATATGAACAATCATTCTTTAACACTATCAGGTTGAGAATAAATTAGAGTAACATTAAACCCCAAAGAAGAAATCTATAAGAACTCATACATGTAACTGTAACCAAGTCTCCAATGGAAAAAATAAGCAGACCCTAATCATCATCTTCCCTGAAGAATCAGCCCATTTATAAACATCTGCAATAAGTAATGAAATGAGAAAAATAAAAAGTTAAAAAAACATTTTAAGCAGCATGAGTAATTAAAAATATTAATATCAGTATGGGTGCATCTTATTGTTCTTAGGATGTAATAAATTTGTGTTGTAATAAATCATCTAACTAGACACTCATATTTTTTGAGAATATCGTTTTAAATTCTTAATATTTGATCACAACAGGTCATTTAAGAATTGCCTTAAATTTTGTCATCAGTTTGGTAAGGATGATGGTGATTCCTTAACATGACCAATGAATTCAAGTGAACCAATAAACTAGAAGAATAATGTTTCAAGTCACAAGACATCCAAAGAAACCCTTAAGAAACATAATGCAAACCAGAAAAATCTTCCCAGGAAAGCTTCACCGATGTCCCAGGAAAGTATCTACCAACATCAACAACTGTTGTCACACCCCTCATCAAGGCATGATTGCTGGCTCTACTCAAAGCTTCCCTCCGCTCCTCTACTGACTCCTCTGGAATGGATATAAGGAGAAGTTTCATTGCAGAATCAATCAGCAATCCAGTAGGTTCTGCATAACGATGAGTTGGAAGATAAGTAATTTCTCCCGGTAGCTGTTACTTATCTAAAGATGTAAACAACCAGAAAATAGATGAAAGGGGAACAAATTCAATCTAATTTTAGATTTTAAAAAAAAAAGATTCTCAAACGTCTTTGTCATTATTTTAGAGTGATAATCCCTTGTAGTGCAATTCATCTCTTTCAGGAGAGTTCTGAATTGAATGTAATAAATGCTCGCTTGAGGTGTAGATCTGGATATGATGAACTTCTTATCCATCCTACTTCCATAGTTGTTAATAAATTTCGGGTTTCTTTTTAGAAAGAAAAAAATAAAATCTATCCAACAGTTGTCCAAGGATTCTTCCTATTGTAAAAGTTGTCAGAATCCATATAAATAGGTCCTAATTGTGACCCCAGTGTCAAGTCAATCACTATGATTTATAGGTACGATACAGATGTCATTTTTCAACTTGATATGGGTTGTCAAATATGGAAATCCCAAAACATGTAAGGGACACAGCTATGCATGTTTTTTCATTAAGGGCCACTAATAGTAAATAATAATGTATTGTTGTCGTAATTTACCATTTTTACAGAAAGACTTAAAACTTTTGCAATCTTCTTGAATAATCAAGGAAATTATTGGGACATGGGTAACACAAATGTCATGTCCACAAATATCCAACACCCTAAACACTTCCATGTCGGTTGTTATATCCAAAGAATTGAAAAGATTAAAGATGGCCCACTGAAAGCATCTATGACATATGAACGCAGTTAAATAATACCTCCGCTGGTGAATCTCACAATTGTTCCACCACTTGGATCTTCTGATGAAGTTGTAATCCCAGCCAACTTGAGTGCAACTGAATTAGCCAAGCCCATATGGCCATCCATCCTCGACAGCCAAACCTGTAAAATGATGTATATTAATGAAATAAAAACACTACTGTGAAAACTATCAAAGCACCCAAAATTCATTTGGTTATGACTTACAGGATTGTAAGGTGTGATGTCATCAACCCAAGAGGCCATCGGCAATTCCCCTCCCCAAAGATCATTGTTCCATCCACCACCCAAAATCCAAGAACCTTGATTTGCATCTGATTTTTCATTTGATTTTTTTTAAATACGAGATTTCAAAAGACTATACAATTTAACAAACACAATAATGTTTATTTTGGAAACATTCAATGGCTATTTCAAAAATTCATTTTATAAGAAATTTAGGCATTGCCAATGATGCTCTGTCTGCACAATTTAACAAACACAATAATATTTATTTTGGAAACATTCAATGGCTATTTCAAAAATTCATTTTATAAGAAATTTAGGCATTGCCAATGATGCTCTGTCTGCACAACTGCTTTTCATAATTAAAAGTGATTTATATCAGATTGTTAGTCGTAGTCATCTCCAGAACTATTTTTGCAGGCTAAATGGTGATCAACAAGCACATAAAGAAGAGTGATTAATGGTTTAATATTTCTTACTAAATGAAACGTCCTACGTTTTATTCTATGACCTTTAACATCTACATGGCCAGTTTAATTGTTTGAATTTAACTCCCGTCTGCTTCATATATGTTCTTACAAGAACTTATGGAGCTTCCATATTGCCCATCCTAAAGCTTGGGAGAAGAGCCCCTAACTCTTGAATAACAACTGGAATTGTAACAATTTTACATTAGGACTTCACAGCCAAACCTTCAAAAAAGAACAATCAAAGATTTCGGCACATACTTTGTGCATTTTTCTAACTCAAACAAGAATATGAATAGACATGTCTAGCCATGACATTCCTGTGTCTATAAGTTCCACAATAAATTGAGAAAATTATAAAAAGGCAGGGAACTGACTTCTCACTGCTTCTTTGACCCTCCTCACAAATTCATCTTTTTGACTTATGCCTCGTAGTTTCACACGCGCCATCTGTTTTCCAATCGGAAACATTTCAAATGCATATATAGAAACTTCAATTAAGCAAAGGAAAATAGATAAATAACAAATCATTTGGTTATTGTACAAAGTTTATGTTACACAAATTTTGCGAAAAAAAAAGAAGAAGAAAAGTTGGAAACACAGTTTAAATACTCGTGAAGCATTGAAGTTGTCGAATGAAAGTTTCAGACATTATAGATTTCCCAACAGTACAAACCTTAGTGTTCAAACTAGTTCAAGCCAGACAGTTCAATGACAGATTTATCGAAATTTTCACATAAATGAACACACACACACACACACACACACAAACACATAGTGGCATATCCAATGAATCAAATTGAAATCTGGAAAAAAATATAAATTCAAATATGTAACACACTTCAACAACTGTTTGAAATGGAAGATGCATAATGCAAGGAATTCAAGCCTTGAACAATTGATACGTAATGGGGTGTTCCGAGTTGTTCAGCATTCATTTCAAGGCTTTGGGGAAGGGGAGGAGAGCCAAAACCTTGTGGGGCAGTCTGGTGTTAGCTATATTTTTGGTAATTTGTCTGGTATTAGCCATCTGTTGGGTAATTTGGATGGAGCAGAATAGGAGAATTTTAAGGATTACAAAGGGGTGAGAGTGGAGGATCTTTTGAGTTGAGTTGGAAGTTGGTCAGCATTGTGGGCATCAGTTTATGTATACTTTAGGGGGATTCTTTATTCATCTTTTCTGTCAGATTTGTTAGCTGTGGTTCAGTTTATTCTATGATGATGTGCATCCTAATGTCAGATATTGTGTTTTGGTGTTTTGTTTCTTATACTAAGTTGTCTGTGGATGTCTCGTCCACATCGTTCTACATAGCTTTTGCTTGAAATAAAGCATGTTTCTCCTCCAAAAGAAATTTAATTATTTCATTACAGACAGTATTTTCTCAAGGGTAAAAAGAGCATATAATATTCGAAACAAGATCAATTTTAAATATGGCACTTGGGCCATACCTGGAGCCCACCAGAAATCAGATGCACGTGGGAATCAATAAATCCAGGGACAACAATCTTTCCCATAAGATCTAACTCCTTGGTCCCATCTCCAACCATATCCTGAATTTGAATGAATATATAAGGGAAGGGTATTTTTAAAACTTTCTGGATTAAGTTCTTTTGTTGGCAACTAACAACAAAATCCATATGATGCAATGAAGAGGTTATAAGGTTTGCCAGAATGACAGAAAAGACAATACATATAAGTAACCACAAAATCCATATAAGTAGATAAAAGAAACATAGAAAGATAGAAAAGACAATACCTGAATGGGCCATCCAAAACCCAAGGGCAGGCAACTTTGAAATTGGACAAAAACAATGTAGTGGTCAACAATAACAGCAATATATCAATCAAGCTGTTTAGACAAACAGACGGAAAAGTACGCAGTTTCTTGGAAAAGTGAGGAGGGAAATACACTTCATAGTTGAGTAAATGGACCATTCTCACAGAGTATCCATTAGTCGAGGATCATAGTAAGATGAACCACAGATCATTACAGTTTGCAGACCAATATAAGGAATGTGGCTTCTTATAACATAGAAAAGTTATACAATCATACTAATTGTATCTATGTTTCTCTAGCCTCATGAGAATTTAGTGAAACCCCCTGAAACAACACTTCTCAGTTTCTGGTTGACCATCAATGAAAATGGATTTTCCGAGAGTTACATTTCATCATATATAGTCACCCTTAAACCCCTGCTTTCAGAAATTGTCGGACAAAATTAAAACATTACCATTTTAAGAATCTTTAAAAACCCACTCAAACGCTAATTTTAACTCTCCTACTAGGAATCATAACATTACCTCTTTTTACATGGCTTCCACTGTTTCACACAATAACAATCACTTGAAAAGGCTTTCTTTCTCACAACTTCTTTCTCATAACAACAGCACCTACCTACCCACTAGCTATAAAGCTTCAACATGATTTCATGTGTATATTTGGATTCAATGCAACAAAATTTATGGCCCAAATATTTGGTTCTGAGCTGCAATCTCACAAGCATCACAAAAAATGGACCAATACATTCAATTCTTAAGAAAGAGGGAGGTAAGGAGCGAGGCAAAGAAGCAAAGGGTGAACCTTAACAGAGGAGTAGTTGCCGACTCGCAGAACCCTTCCGCTGCGGACGGCCATGGAATCGGCGAAAGGGAGAGACTCGTCACTGGTGTATATCTTGGCATTTCTCACCACCAAGTCCGCCCTTGGAGACCTCCAACTTAACAACTCTGCAAAAAAAAAAAAATCCAAGTATTCAAATTTCAGATCAAAACTGAAACTTTAAGAAGAAAGAAATGATGAATGTTGATCATTTTTACGGTGGTTGGGTTTGAGAAGAGGAAGAGAGGCTATAATGGCGAGGACGACAGCTACAGAAGCAGAGACGACGGTGAGAAAGTTGTTCATTTTCGAAATTTGGAGAAGGAAGAGTGGCTCAAGCTTCAGTCCAGCAGAGTGTGTGATGTAAAATCTCTCCCTCTCAACGCATTGTCACAATTTCTACGTGTCAAAAGTATAAGAAATTCTTAGGATTTTGGGTCGGATCGGATTTCTTTGGGTCGAATCATAACAAGCTGACCCATTTCTTAACGGATTGAGTCAAATGTGTATTCGTAAAACTCAGTTAACACACACTACTTGTCTCTTTTTTTTATTTATACATATATATTAATATCATTATTCTTGATAGTAATTTTTTTGATACAATCAATAGTCTAAGGGCTCGGTTGGAACTAATTCTCTAGGAGATGGAAATTCGAACTTGGGTGCAAGGTATCGGGTTTTAACTAACTGGCTTAACTCACCTGTGCATTCTTGATGGTGATTTGACGTTTGTTGTGTAATGCATTAGCAGTCCTTTTCACCTAGCCCACAGAAATCAGGGAGTTTCTTGGTCAACAATAAACTCAATTTATAACTTCTAATGTAATTTCCTTTTGGGGTAAATAATCCTTAACTCTATTTCAGATCGAAAATTGAAACTTTGCCCCTTGAATCGCATGTTCCATTGCAGGAGGTCCAAACTGTTTTGAAATGTGAGAGCTTTGAGTACACATCTGCCTTGAGTTGATTGCCCTTGAAAAGAGTAGCTTTGGCATCAGGCACTTCAGGCTTAGCTTTAGCAATCTGGCTCTGCAGAGTCCAGGCGGAATCCAACGGAGTTCAGAGAAGAATGGAGTTGATTGTGTTCTTGTTCTTTGCTAGCCAACTGTTTTTGAAGCCGAGCTACAATTTCAGTCTTCACTTGCTGGAGCTGTTGATACTTCAGACCACAAGTTTTCCTCTCTTGCTCCAAGTCTCAATCACTAGTGCTGAAAGTGTTCTTGTAAACTTCGGCCTCCTTGTATTTCTTGTCAATGGCTGCCCATTGTCCAGCCAGATCCTGGGAGTCCTCTGCAAAAGTTAGACTAGCTTCCAGAAATGGTAGAGGCAGCACCTGTTCTTTGGCAAGCGGACACAAATCTTCCATCAGCTGATTGACGGATTCATAGCCTTGTTCAACAGAAAACCCTTCGTCTCTACAATTTTTTTCACTAGAAATATGGCTTGTTCGGCAGCTGCAGTTGGATAGTCACCCTTAAACCCCTGCTTTCAGAAATTGTCGGACAAAATTAAAACATTACCATTTTAAGAATCTTTAAAAACCCACTCAAACGCTAATTTTAACTCTCCTACTAGGAATCATAACATTACCTCTTTTTACATGGCTTCCACTGTTTCACACAATAACAATCACTTGAAAAGGCTTTCTTTCTCACAACTTCTTTCTCATAACAACAGCACCTACCTACCCACTAGCTATAAAGCTTCAACATGATTTCATGTGTATATTTGGATTCAATGCAACAAAATTTATGGCCCAAATATTTGGTTCTGAGCTGCAATCTCACAAGCATCACAAAAAATGGACCAATACATTCAATTCTTAAGAAAGAGGGAGGTAAGGAGCGAGGCAAAGAAGCAAAGGGTGAACCTTAACAGAGGAGTAGTTGCCGACTCGCAGAACCCTTCCGCTGCGGACGGCCATGGAATCGGCGAAAGGGAGAGACTCGTCACTGGTGTATATCTTGGCATTTCTCACCACCAAGTCCGCCCTTGGAGACCTCCAACTTAACAACTCTGCAAAAAAAAAAAAAATCCAAGTATTCAAATTTCAGATCAAAACTGAAACTTTAAGAAGAAAGAAATGATGAATGTTGATCATTTTTACGGTGGTTGGGTTTGAGAAGAGGAAGAGAGGCTATAATGGCGAGGACGACAGCTACAGAAGCAGAGACGACGGTGAGAAAGTTGTTCATTTTCGAAATTTGGAGAAGGAAGAGTGGCTCAAGCTTCAGTCCAGCAGAGTGTGTGATGTAAAATCTCTCCCTCTCAACGCATTGTCACAATTTCTACGTGTCAAAAGTATAAGAAATTCTTAGGATTTTGGGTCGGATCGGATTTCTTTGGGTCGAATCATAACAAGCTGACCCATTTCTTAACGGATTGAGTCAAATGTGTATTCGTAAAACTCAGTTAACACACACTACTTGTCTCTTTTTTTTATTTATACATATATATTAATATCATTATTCTTGATAGTAATTTTTTTGATACAATCAATAGTCTAAGGGCTCGGTTGGAACTAATTCTCTAGGAGATGGAAATTCGAACTTGGGTGCAAGGTATCGGGTTTTAACTAACTGGCTTAACTCACCTGTGCATTCTTGATGGTGATTTGACGTTTGTTGTGTAATGCATTAGCAGTCCTTTTCACCTAGCCCACAGAAATCAGGGAGTTTCTTGGTCAACAATAAACTCAATTTATAACTTCTAATGTAATTTCCTTTTGGGGTAAATAATCCTTAACTCTATTTCAGATCGAAAATTGAAACTTTGCCCCTTGAATCGCATGTTCCATTGCAGGAGGTCCAAACTGTTTTGAAATGTGAGAGCTTTGAGTACACATCTGCCTTGAGTTGATTGCCCTTGAAAAGAGTAGCTTTGGCATCAGGCACTTCAGGCTTAGCTTTAGCAATCTGGCTCTGCAGAGTCCAGGCGGAATCCAACGGAGTTCAGAGAAGAATGGAGTTGATTGTGTTCTTGTTCTTTGCTAGCCAACTGTTTTTGAAGCCGAGCTACAATTTCAGTCTTCACTTGCTGGAGCTGTTGATACTTCAGACCACAAGTTTTCCTCTCTTGCTCCAAGTCTCAATCACTAGTGCTGAAAGTGTTCTTGTAAACTTCGGCCTCCTTGTATTTCTTGTCAATGGCTGCCCATTGTCCAGCCAGATCCTGGGAGTCCTCTGCAAAAGTTAGACTAGCTTCCAGAAATGGTAGAGGCAGCACCTGTTCTTTGGCAAGCGGACACAAATCTTCCATCAGCTGATTGACGGATTCATAGCCTTGTTCAACAGAAAACCCTTCGTCTCTACAATTTTTTTCACTAGAAATATGGCTTGTTCGGCAGCTGCAGTTGGAGGAGGACCTCTAACTTCCTTGTTCCGGTGGATCAGAGTGAATTTGGCATCTAAATCCAATTTGCTAAAGTCGGGGACTGAAGAGTTTTCTGGGAGAACACAACAGGCTGGACCATGGCCTCCACAGTCGAAAAACTAGCCAGAGACTCCTGGAAACAGACTGAAATTAGAAAAGAGCTCAGAATAACATAAAATAACCAAAACTCCATCATGATAAGCCGCGCCTTTGCATCAGCTTCTGGTGATGCCGAAAATCCATTCTGGGGCCTTTTTCACATCCTCTTTAGATGAACATTCTGAGCAAAACAAAGCTTTCCAATTTTTTTGCTTCTACAATGGTCATGCCAACGCAAGCAGCATGGTACCTACACGTATGCGTCGTCGATAGTAAAATAAAATCATGTATCTATTAGGTTATTTAAGATCTACATAGGGTAGATCCAAATTATGTTGCAAAAAGGACCCAAATTTCTTCCAAAACAAGATTCAATAGCCACCAGATCATTCTTTTCGGTTCTTCCAAACTTATATGTTGTTTGTATATACATGCTAAACAAGTGCTCTCAAGATCAAGACGCCAATTGTTAGAGCCATTATTACGGATAATCGCCTAGTTAATGTTTCTTTTGCGAACAATTTTCGAGTAACACAACACATTCAAAAACTCCGATCTCCAAAAATGTGCAACATACTGAGAAAGAAAGAAAAGAAGTCGAAAAGATTACCGTTCCCAGCACCCCTCGCACTTCACCATGAGTTCATCCGGGTTATACGGCATCTCACACTTGCAATGCCTTCAAAACAGACAGACAGACAAAAACAAACCCGTCAAATCCTATCCACATAAACACCACATTTCCACTAATTAAAAACCAAAGCAACAGCAAGGTACCCACTAGTGTAGTGGTCTGAAGCAATTGCTCCACCAAGAAAAGTCAAGTCTTAGCATCGTTTAGTATATTATTGCCCCTTTCAATAGGAAAGGTCTTCCAAGAAAAAAAAAACCAAAGCAACAGGAAAGCAAAAGACACTCACACAGCAACTATGTCTGGTGCAAGCTCTCCAGTATCAGCCTTATACTCAAATCTACAGTAGTAATTTTCAGCTCCCACATTCTCCAGCTTTGCGTAGTTCTTAAGAGAGTGGACCCTACACTTGCCTTCAATGGTGTCAGCGCTCCGATCATCATAGCAGTCAGACAAGAAGAGCTCTTTGGCTCCATGAAACTTTCTACGCCCTCCAATCGACTCCTCTGGCCTATAGTACCACCTCACTCTCACTTTCGCGTAGCTCCAGTCGTCCTAGGCTTCAATCTTCTCGATGCGTGCCACGCATGGGGGCTTACCGGTGACCAATGAGCGCATCAGCACGCAATCCCCAACTGCAAAACCACCATTTTTTCAACACATTTCCCTTCCCGCCAAAAAAAAAAATAAAAAAAATCAAAATCAAAATCATTGTTTTTCTTCTCGTTTTCTTTACCTCTGACGACTTTGTTGGTGCCTCTGATCGTGTAAGAATCCACGTCCTTTCTCTCCGGTCTAGTTTTGGCCATGAGGGTCATTTTCAAGGAAGCCTTGCCTTGGTGTTAAAGAAATGTAGCAACTTTGAAGCAACTTCAATGGCGTAAACTGGTTTACTCCCATAATACCCGTCTTAAATTTTGGATGACATTATATAAGTAAATTGTAAGATTTAGACTACTACAATCTATGCATGTATGCTAAATTTGAAGTTTTGGCTATGATTGCAGGTTGTGTTGGAGGTGATTAAGGCTATGAATCGAACTGAACTGAATTTTACATGAGCATGGAAGGAGAGTTGATAGAGAAAGCTAAAGAATTGCTCCATTGTTTTGCATTTGTATCCTCGCAACACCAATCTCGTTCATGTAATTTTGTGGCTTGCCAAAATTTTGCTTTATTTTGTAATGAGACATGGTAGATTGTACTAGGTGGACACACTTAAATGAAATAATTTTGTTTTGAAGGTAAATGAATTCAAGGTATCCCACTTAATTACTGGAAGAAATCAAATATCTCAAGGAGAGAGATCGCGTAAAACAGGTGGAGAGAAAAAGAAACAGTGATTCATATCTGATGCATTATAGAAAATTGTTAAATCAT